AAACCTGAAGTACTTACAGAGGAATTAAATTTCATAATTTAAGACACTTTTAATAATAATAGTAATAATAATAATAATAATAATAATAATAATATAATAATATTAATAATAATACATTTAAGATGGACAAGAGGGGGAGAGGGAGTATAGAGTAAACTAACTTTCTTGGGATGTCCCATTTTCAGCTCCAAATTTTATAGAAACCTTACTTACAGCTGTTATTCAAAAGCTGTAAGCTTAGAGGTAAGAGGTTGTATTTATAGCTAACCCATTGGGTATGAAGTAGAACCTAAATACAGAGTTAAAGTCATGTATAGGGTGTTTGCTGTTGCTATTACTTATTATGTTTAGCCTTCACAAACTGTTAATTCCGGCAGAAAGTTCTGGTTAGTTGTCCACTTCTAGACAACTTCTTATACCAGAACGTAAATTTTGTACGCATGTAAGGTCAAGAAAAAAGAAAATTCAGCCTGTAAGGGTTTTGAACTGAATCGGCAGGCCAAAAAAAAAAAAAATAATGCACGCATCACCGAAGCCAGAAATCATAGAGATTCACTGCACTTGGGCTTCGATTTTCGTAAACGTGGAGATTCATTGCACTTGTGAGTTTCAAGACTCCATAAAAAAAGAAAAAGACCAGCAAGCATGTCGCAAAAAGGCGACTTATTAAGGGTTTGCTGAAATCGAGTGTGCTGGGCCTTTGCAGACGCTAAGCAAGAAGGCTAATCCGTGATAGCCGCTGACGCAAGTATCTTTGGTTCGTCTCACACCATAAACTGTGTATTGTAAAAATAAAAATAAAAATAAAAGAAAAAAAATGACAAGAGAATTGTATACTCAAAACATCGCCTAATCCTCAGATAATGGATCAGTTGACTAGTCTTCTTAAACAACGGGGAAACATCAGTGGATAAATTTACCGTATACTATGAGAACTTTAAAAAATACACCCACATTTGAAATAGAAAAGATCAGACAGAAAAAATGCCAATATCCAAGTCAAGGTTTGAAATGAGAAAAGCTACAGTGTATAATAAATTGTATAACGCGTGTGATCTGTGATTTGAAAATACATATTTGGAACGCCGCCAGCGATGTAAATTTCCTGAACTTTAAGGATACTCTCTTTGTGTGAGCTAGGTGACAAGACTGAAGCACATATGCGGATATTAGTTCATAAGGAAAGTAATCCCGTGCAACTTAAAACGAAACAAAACGTTATGCGCATTCTTGAATATAAGACATAATAGGACTCAAGCTTACCATACAAGTGTTTGATATCTACGCGAATTATTCTATATCTGCCAGTAGTTGAATGAGTCTAGATGTCTGCAATAGCTAGCTGAGCTTCTGTTTTCTGCCTGCAAACAGTCAGGTGGCTTTAGTTTACTGTCTATCAATATTCGAGTGACTCTAGTTTTCTGCCTGTCCCCAGTGAAGTAAATAACTTTCTGCCTGTCACCAGTGGAGTAACTAGCTTTCTGCCTGTCAGCAGTGGAGTAACTAGCTTTCTGCCTGTCAGCAGTGGAGTAACTAGCTTTCTGCCTGTCAGCAATGGAGTAGCTAGCTTTCTGCCTGTCAGCAGTGGAGTAACTAGCTTTCCGCCTGTCAGCAATGGAGTAGCTAGCTTTCTGCCTGTCAGCAGTGGAGTAACTAGCTTTCTGCCTGTCAGCGGTGGAGTAACTAGCTTTCTGCCTATCAGCAGTGGAGTAACTAGCTTTCTGCCTGTCAGCAATGGAGTAGCTAGCTTTCTGCCTGTCAGCATTGGAGTAGCTAGCTTTCTGCCTGTCAGCAGTGGAGTAACTAGCTTTCTGCCTGTCAGCGGTGGAGTAACTAGCTTTCTGCCTATCAGCAGTGGAGTAACTAGCTTTTTGCCAGTCAGCAGTGGAGTAACTAGCTTTTTGCCTGTCAGCAGTGGAGTAACTAGCTTTTTACCTGTCAGCAGCGGAGTAACTAGCTTTCTGCCTGTCAGCAGTGGAGTAGCTAGCTTTCTGCCTGTCAGCAGTGGAGTAACTAGCTTTCTGCCCGGCAACAGTGGAGTAACTAGCTTTCTGCCTGTCAGCAGTGGAGTAACTAGCTTTACGCCTGTCAGCAGTGGAGTAGCTAGCTTTTTGCCAGTCAGCAGTGGAATAACTAGCTTTTTGCCTGTCAGCAGTGGAGTAACTAGCTTTTTGCCTGTCAGCAGTGGAGTAACTAGCTTTTTGCCTGTCAGCAGTGGAGTAACTAGCTTTCTGCCTGTCAGCAGTGGAGTAACTAGCTTTCTGCCCGGCAACAGTGGAGTAACTAGCTTTCTGCCTGTCAGCAGTGGGGTAACTAGCTTTACGCCTGTCAGCAGTGGAGTAGCTAGCTTTTTGCCAGTTAGCAGTGGAGTAACTAGCTTTTTGCCAGTCAGCAGTGGAGTAACTAGCTTTTTACCTGTCAGCAGTGGAGTAACTAGCTTTCTGCCTGTCAGCAGTGGAGTAACTAGCTTTCTGCCTGTCAGCAGTGGAGTAACTAGCTTTTTGTCTGTCAGCCGTGGAGTAACTAGCTTTCTGCCTGTCAGCAGTGGAGTAACTAGCTTTTTGCCTGTCAGCCGTGGAGTAACTAGCTTTCTGCCTGTCAGCAGTGGAGTAACTAGCTTTCTGTCCGGCAACAGTGGGGTAACTAGCTTTTTTCATGTCAGCAGTTGAGTAAATAGCTTTCTGCCTGCCAGCAGAGGAGTAAATAGCTTTCTCCTTGTCAGCAGTAGAGTTACTAGCTTTCTGCCTGGCAACAGTAGATTAACTAGCCTTCTGCCTGTCAGCAGTTGAGTAAATAGCTTCCTGCCTTTCAGCGATGGAGTAAATAGCTTTCTGCCAGTCAGCAGTAAAGTTACTAGCTTTCTGCCTGGCAACAGTAGAGTACCTATCTTTCTGCCTGGCAACAGTAGAGTAACTAACTTTCTGCCTGTCAGCAGTTCAGTAAATAGCTTTCTGCCTGTCAGCAGTTGAGTAAATAGCTTTCTGCCTGTCAACAGTGGAGTGAATAGCTTTCTGCCTGTCAACAGTGGAGTAAATATCTTTCAGCCTGTTAACAGTGGAGTAACTAGCTTTCTGCCTGACAGCAGTAGAGTTACTTGCTCTCTGCCTGGCAACAGTAGAGTAACTAGCTTACTGCCAGGCATCAGAGGAGTGACTTTTTTTTTCTCCCTGTCAAAAATCGAATCATTTTTTGTTATATCTGTCATTTGCTGAGTGGTAACATATCTGCCAAAGTTAAAATATCTTTAGTGTTATGTGTGTCGATAGTTGTATATCTGTCATTAGTCGACTGAATCAAATTTTATAACTTTCAACGGTCAAGTAGTTCTAGTTACAAGCTTCTCTTTGAATAAAAGCATTGGAAAGGATGACTTGCCCAACATATCTATGAAGGGTCTAAATGTTGAAAGAAGAAGTAAGCTGAAATACTTAGGCTTGACGTTTGATAGCAGTCTGTCCTACAAACATCACGTGGAGCAGACTGTGGTAAAATTCAAGCGTGTCCTGGCGGCACAAGCGAAACAGAGATTATTGATCTTATTGTTCAACCATCTGGTTCTTTCTGTCATTGATTAACGCGTAGGAGTATTAACTCTATCTACTTCATAGTGTACACAGCTTCAAAGGATTCAAAATGAAGAAATGAGAATCGTCTTGGATGACACACAAGATACCCAAATTAGAACAATTAGGTATACACTTGGGTTGACACTGGTGAAGTCTAGACTGTCACTAACGCAAGCCAAGACCTATATGTCAGTTGACAATGATGAAAGGTATCTGCTGCATGGTATTCTGACCGATTCAAGAGGATACCGGTTGAGAAGAGGAAAGTCATGTATGAAGATACCACCCAGACGGCGGCCTCGCTCAAGCAAATACACAGGGGCAGAAATGGGTCGAGACGAACACCCACAACAGCAGTTTCTATCAGGTCATTATCACGTTAGGAAAACATGTAGAGAATGGTGTAACGGTATGGCAGTATTAGAGTTTCAACAACTAATAGATGGAATGGCTGGGCTAGATGATGTAGTAGTGTGCACCGATAGTTTTGTTCATTGGGGTGTAAGATCAAGCTGGAGATTTTCAGCTAGAGTAAAAGGGGAAATTCTGACAGAAAAAAATAGAGCTGTTTTATCTGCAACGTCAAGCACGAGGATGGAAGTGGAGGCAGTCACTGCGGCTCTGAATTGGATAACAGAAAACAAAGTTACCAGAGGAATGACGTCTGATTGTGTCTGATTCTCAGTCGGTACTGTGAAAGGTTCAAAATGGACTAATGTGGCATGAGTGGATACCATGAATCAGTATGTCAGGGAATCTCGTGGATATACTGTCCGGGATATGCAGGAGTGCGAGGGAATGAAAGAGCGGATTTTCTGGATACAAAATTCAAAGTTACCGGAACACTCGTACTGGACATTTGAGATATTCTGAAGACCACATATGAAAGACTATTGACAGAAGACACGAGATTATACGAAATAACATGTGCAAGAATGTTTGAACGAGCAAATAA